TCAAGCTGGAGGCAGATTTGTAGCAACGAGAGGTGGTGGTGGTGGTGGTGGTGGGGGCGGGGATAATTGAGGTGGGATTAAAAAGAAATTGACTTTTATTTCCAAAATTTGGAAGTTTTCCCACACTTTGGTTTCCCGCTTGTAAATCCCCCTTCTTTTTGCTTTCATTTTTTTTTTGTCCAGTGTCATTTTAATTTACTTTAGCCATTTTGTAATAATTAAATTTTATCTATCTTTTATCCAGTTTAATCATTTCTAAATATAATAGAAAAATTTATTCAATTTTTTATTAAGCTATCTATTTTTGGTTGCTCTTAGAATCATATTATATTATGAATCTTTCTTTTCTTGCACACAACTTTTGGTCTTAGTGCCTCAAAATTTATTACTTTTGTTATTAATTTTTAGTTATTTAATAACAAAATTACCTTTTTAATCAAATTAATTACTAGTAATTATTAGATGGTGCAACAATATGTAAGATAGAGGAAAGTTTGTTGTTTTCGTAACAGAAATACATTTTTCATGGAAGATTGATACAATTCAAAATGATTAATAGTAGTATAAATAGTTTGCCCAACTCGTAATATCATATATGAGCAACTAATATTGCATATTCATGAATTTATGGTAATCGGTATGCCAAATAAATAGTTTATAGTGGTTCTTAAATATTTTAATTAGTAAAGAACAAGTTTTTTGCTACAAGACTGATTAACTATACCCCATAAGATTGTTATGAATGAAATCAAGAAGGAAATTATGTGGAAGGTCTAGTGGAGCTATAGAAAAGCAACAAGTAGTGAATGCAAGTTCTACGAAAAAAGGAGTCTGTATAGTTACTTCGAAAGAATTATATAATGTAATAGAAAAGAGAGAATTGAACAAAAGTTATTTTTTCTTTTTCTTTTGTAAACATTACAATTTACAATATGTTTTTTCTTAGAAAAAAAGGCAGAAGAACTATAACCAGTACAATCTCGTACTTAATAACTATGTTTATAGTTGTTATAAAATATAAATTTGATTTACATTGATTCAAACTCACTCTTAAATTTTGAATAAGTACACTTGACATGTTAGAATTACTTTTTAATTTAAAGAAAATGGGTATTTGAGTCAAATTTCATGAAAATGCATAATATTATGCAATTTATTTACCAAAGTGCAATAAGCATAAAGTCATGAATGAATGTCTTACATGTCAGAGAATAACGAATAAGGACCAATGATGTGATTTTAGTACATATATGTATTAATAGTTAAGTTTTTATCACAATCACTTCACCTAATTTACAAGTTTCAAGAAATTCATAATTTATGTAAAATTGTGTGGTTGTTTTCATAAATAACAGGGTGCCACACTTTGATAATCATATACTAAGGATATGAAATTCAAATATACGAACTAAAGGCCCAATTGATCAATAAAGTTAACAAAGAGTTAATTGGGCCTTGAAATTTGGGCATATAAATGTAATAAGTTTATTGCATTCTTTTTTTTTCAATACAATACATACTACAAATTTCAAATAAGTGGACATCAATCCAGTGAACACTTCACATAACCTATTTCAGTAATCACTCGGTCCGCTGTCTTTGTTTTTTTTTCTTTGTTAAGTGTAGAGGGAGAGATATAGAAGATAATAGATAGTACTTTTGGTACATATAACTTTTATTAGGTAAATTTATCGTTGAAAGATGCTCATAAGTTTGCTAATTCAATGAATTATACTATTACTTTAAAAAAGAGGATAAAGACTGAAGTTTGGTGTTTAATCTGCAAAAAATATTAGTGACCAACTTTTTTGTGGTCACCAAACCTTGGTGGGAAATTTTCCCACCAAATGATTATTGACCAACTAAAAAAATGGGCAAGAAAAATTTGGAAGGAAATATTCCCACCATTTCTTAGTGACCAATTGAGCTTCATGACCATAAAGTTTTGTCACCAAAAAATAAATTTTCTTGACCAAACTCTTTCTTGGTCACCAGTTTGGTCTCTATTTAAAGATTTGGAATCTCGTCATCAGTTAGTGAGTAAAACGGTGATCAATTTCTTGTGTTGGTCCTTAAATTCTCCGAGTGACGAAAATTTGTTGACCAAGTGCAAAAATTGGTCAAGAAATACTAATATTGGTGACCAAATTTTTCTTTGTCAACAAAAAATTGGTCACCAAAGTCATTTTTTTTGTAGTGTCTCTAAAAGATAGGGAATCTTCCAAATCTTATCCTTCTACAAGTGTGATAAAATTTAAATGATTTTATCCCTAAAATATAGAGATTCCAACTCCTAAAAATTAGGAGATAGGGCTGGCCTCCCTTGCTTGGTTTGTGGGCCGAAATTTCCTTCCTCAAATGGGCCTTGTAACACATTAATAATCTTGGGCTTGTAACTTCCAGACTTGACATTCTCTTGGGCTAAACCATTTGATATAAGATTATTAAGTGCACTCCTCATCCTTTTACTTCTACCTTGAGTCATTGGGCCTCCAATGTTGGATAATGGATCTTGAGCCACTCCTTGAGTTTGGACAGTACTTGGAACCCGAACACCTTGATCATCTTGGACTTGATTACCATGGATGTTCACATCACCAAGTCTCGGGACAGCCTGTGACAAACACTTGAAGCTGAGCTGAAAGAAATACAAGAGAAGGTGGCGGACCACGATTCGTACGAGAGACAAGGAAAGGCTTATATGTATTCTGGACTGAGCTCACACGGGGGGCAGAGGGCCGGAGATGGTGCAGTATTCGGTGCCTATGCAGCAGCTGGCACGGCATGTTATTCTGCAGCAACGGCACCATCATTTTCTAATTATTGTGATGCTGTTGATTCTGCTGGTCCAACTGGTTCAGCTGGTTCATTGTTTGGTTCTCGAAACCTTGCTCCAGCTCTAACCTATCAAACTCGAGCAATGTCCGCTATGGTTGGCCGGTCACAGCAGGCCACACAAAAGCTCAATCCATCTCAAACCCCAAAGCGGCGATAGCCATACTATATATACTGCATTGGAATGGGGGTAAACTTTATTATAGGCTAGAAACAATTTCGAGTAATATTATAGGTTAATAATTATGATAGGGTGGAAAATCAATTAGGAATTTTAGAAGTTATTTTTGTTCCTGCTTTATTTTTTCAAATGCTATTGTAGTGCTAGTACTTTGGTAGAAATATTAGTGAGTTTCTCTAAATAAATTGTTGTTTCCCGTATTTTTTCTTCTTCTTTTTTGCCCAATAAACTTGCTGCAGTGAGATCATCTGTTTCATTTCATGGAACAATGAATTTGTAGTTCTTTGAAAGCCAAGGCTGCAGAGTTCTGCCTGGTATGAATGAAGATTTCCAACCCTATTATGAGATTACTGCTTCTCAAGATCTTGAATTTTTTACGACACTAACCAAGTAGACAGCACCCTGTCTGTATTTTCCTTGTTCAATATTTGCATAAAAATATCAAGCAACCTGGTATCATCAGCATTCGACTTTCGGCAAACTTTACATAACAAGAGAATTATTGGGTTGCAAAAATAGTCAATAATCAAAGTACTTGTTGTTTCGAATTTCGCTACTTAGAGCAATCACAATAGGCATTAAGTGACACTTAAAATGTGTACCATCTTTCTTCCCAAAAAGTAAAAAATGTGGGGTCATGCGCTTGCTTGCTAATGCAATTGGCATTGGACAAAAAAACCCTTTTACTTGCCTACTGTTAGATAGGCGGAGTTAGAAAGGTTTGGGATCAAATTTTACGTGAGGCATTGAGGATGCTCCAACAGGCGGAGTTTGGAAAGGCTTGGGATCACATTTTACGTGACGCATTGAGGATACTCTAAGACATAATGTACACCGCAATAGTTTGCATGAAAGAACTTATGCAAACAGGGAATTGAAAAAATTCAGTGAGAATGAGCTTCAAAAATTATCTAATTACTATACTACTGGCCCTGTTCTTGATAGTGTTTTCTTTACTTCAATGATCTCCCATTCCTGATCATCCTTCACTCTTGCCGTTATCCTTGCTGAATGGAATTTAAGAATGATTTCACCTCTAGTTTCTAGAGCAAAAGAAATTCCACCAAGTGGTTATTTCCTTGCTAAGACTCTGTTTGATAATCACTTAACATAGTGACTTAATTTATTCAAATAATTAATGAAATTAAGTGTGTTTGATAATCGTTATTAAAAAGTCTTAATGAATTAAGTTCTGAACTAATTAAATACTTATAAATTAAGTGCGTTTAATAACTAAAATTTCACTGTTTGAATTAATTAAGTGCGTCTGAATGACCAGTTCAATTGTGAGTCAGAAAATAAGTGATAGGCCTATCACTTATCACTTATTACTTAATTTCTGTGTAACTCTTTTTTTTTTCTTTTTTCTTTTTTTCCCCTTTTTTCCACTCGTCTTTATTTTGTCGCTTATTTTCATATTGTTTTTAAAATTTTTATTTTCTTAAGATAAATTAATTAAGAGTGCTTAAAGTTGAATTTATATTATCTGTATAAAAGATCTCAAACTTTCAAACTCAAATTAAACTAATTTTAATACATGAAATTTGCTAAATAACAAGGTATACACTTATATGCAATAATCTAAATTTAATTATATATTGATTATTTACCAAGTGTAACATCTACTTTCATTATATATACAAAAACTTATTTCAAAATTATTATTTTATTATTTAGAACAAAATATTAGTTATTTTTCTATTTAAAAGAATTTTGTTTATAATTCAATTTTGATGATATTAAAATTTTAAATAACTTTCAGACATGAGTATTCAGATTCAGTCTTCGGACTTCAGACTTCAGTCTTCAGACATCATATTCAGACGTTTTTATCAAACAATGTAAATTCAGTTTTCAGACTTCAGACTTCAGTGTTAAGTGTTTAAAAGTAACGTTTTAGCCCAACAACAAGCCCAAATGTAAGCCTATGGTGAAAAATTATTGAGAGCCCACGAGGAGTCCATTCTTTATAGACTGAAACATTTTTATTTTCTTCGTCTCCAACTCTGCTCAAGTTGACTTGTAAAAAATGGAGAGTGTTGGGGTCAGTTCTCGGCTCTGCTTCATTCTCTGTGTGTTTTTCTCAGCCTACTTCTTCGCCGGTGTCAGATCGTCGTCGGCGGAGCTTCAGATTCTCAACGCCGAGCGTAGAGTATGTGTTCCCACTCGCCCAATTCACGTGTTCCGGAGTTTATATGTTTGGATTTTTTTTTTTATAAAATTTATAATTACTTGATTTAGGTTTGTACGCATTTGATTTGTTTTGATCAATGCTTTATTATTTTTATTCTAATTACAACGCAGTAATTTTAAATTTCAGAGACAGATAATGAGTTCAATCCTGAGAAATGCTTTCTTTGTTTTGATTATTTGCTGCAGGTTGACTTGAGCTCGCACATTATTAGGGTTTCTCTGACGCTTAAGGTGATGTTTCTAGGCTCGACCTTTTCTTCTCAATCAGTTTATGGTGCTTTTGGATAATGGAAGTTGAAGAATTTCGTTTCTTTTCCCCATCAATGTTAAAAGTTCACAGTAATTGGTCCCCTGGGGTTGTAATGAGTGTTTATGGTTTAATTGACATTTACCTTAGCGTATAGATAAACTCGTGATTTCATCACGACTTGCTTGCATATGTGATCCTCATAAAAAAGATACCAAAAAATAAGGTATAAACATTGTCTTATTTCGGTGGACTGATTGTCTGAAGGTGTGGTTATTTCAGCTCAGAGTATGCATAAATGCCTTTGATTTCTCAATTAGTCCATTACATGTAGTACCCCTTCCCAGCCCCATCCCAGAAATTCAAGGGAGAGGGGAAAATTGGAGAAACAGAAATGAATAGCCTATTCTCTATGGATCAGTAATTCGTGTTTACCATCTCAGAAGTTTTTGTGATTCATGAGAAATTTTTGTATAATGTGGTGCCTAGCTTTAGGATATAATCTTCTGTATTCTTTTCTTCATCTGGTACTTATCTGTGATGTCTGATCTCTTAGGTTGAAAATATTGGCACAACTCCTGCTTCTGAACTTCTCCTTGCTTTCCCACCGAAGCAAGTTGATCACTTGGCATGGATTCAAGCAGCAGCTGTTACTGGAAAGAGGAAAAAGAAAACTTTTCTGCCACTTGATGTAAAGCCAAGCACTGGACCTGACGGTCCAAATGGAACTAAACACTACTCTGTGACTTTGGTCAATAAATTAGGGAGTGGTGAATCTGTAACACTAGAAGTACTTTATGTGCTCACTCATTCTCTTGAGCCCTTCCCTGTAGAGATAAGCCAGGCCGAGTCTCAGCTGGTCTATTACCATGACAGTGCATTAGTACTGTCACCTTACCCAATCAAATCTCAGGAAACTTCTTTCCGGACCCCGACTAGCAGGGTTGAGTCATTTACTAGACTAGAACCAACTGATCGCTCAGGAACAGAATTGAAATATGGACCATATGAGGACCGTCCCTCCTACTCGTTTAATCCTATACTTTTACATTTTGAAAATAATAACCCCTTTGCTGTGGTTGAGGAGCTCGTGCGTGAAATTGAGATATCACACTGGGGTAATCTTCAGGTCACAGAGCATTATAAACTAGCTCATGCCGGTGCTCGACAAAAAGGTGGTTTTTCAAGGTTAGTTCGTTATTATTTGGGGAGATCACTTTGTTTCTACCCGTAATGCCAATTCTATGATTCCATGAATTATTGTTTTCAGAAAAAAAGAAGAAAGATTATATGAGTTATTTGTACCTATATAAATCTTTAGCATGGGCATATATTTGTTAAAGCCACAATGAAAGCAAATGCTTTTTAGCTATGGTAGAATTGTCTGTTACATATCTTCTGATAAATGTACGTGTCCATTTATCCTTTTTTTTTTCTTTGGCATAATGTCTGCCTTTTTAAGTGGAAAAGAAAAGTTTCCCTTTGCATTGATGGAACTTGTAGTTTTCCACCTAGCAAACGTTGTTTAGTGACTGCTGTACGCCTAGCTTGTATTTATTTCAATTATTACCTTAAGATGATTCTCTCTGCTATAAGTTTCGGAACTTTTTCTTGGCAGGGTTGATTACCAATCAAGGCAACATTTTGGCAGTTCAGCTTCTTTTAAGCATCTTCTTGCCGAGCTACCCCTGAGAGTTCATTCTGTTTACTATAGGGATGATATAGGGAATATCTCATCATCACGTTTGCTAATAGGTTCTAAGAAGGTACTTGTTTTATCATCTGGCTTCATCCAACCTACTCTTAGATGAAGTATATGAAGCGAATGTCTAGTTCTTCGTTTTTTATTCCGGACAGATAAAAAGAATTGCTGGAATGCTTAAACTCTTATTATTGTACATTAAGTTTGGGGTGCTCTTTCACTAGGGAAAGAAATGAAATCTGAGGCATTTCTTTTAATGTTTAACAACAAGGTCTTTGCTTGCCTTTAGGTTCAGATTTAGAGGTTTTACCAGGGGCTCTTAATAAAAGATAAATTCAATCCGATGAGCAGCACAACCAATTAAACTCACAGTGCCGTGTTCAATGTTTTGGGTTTAGACTTTATATGTTCAACCTCTCAGTGCTGTTTGCAGCTATCGATAAATTTGTTTGTAGATTTTAGCTTTGATCTTGTTTAAGTTTTCTTGAAGTTCTGAATAGATTTCTTGCGTCGTATGAAACATTAAGAGCTATCAATGTTGTGTCAAACCCTCTTGCTTGAATGGCAATGTGGTTGCATCAATTAAGAACGTGTGCATCAGATATCTCTTAGTCTTCTAGCTACTCGCCTTCTCCAACAATACATGCTTCTAGAGATTCAGTTTCAGGGGAATTTCTGTTACTTATGTATGAGATGTTCATTCAAGAAAGAAGATATTAATGTTGTAATATCTCATTTGCTAGTAAAATCATAATATTAGATTCTTATATTTCTGTATTGCTTCCAAATAAATGCATGTTTCCAAATAATATGTGCTACTTGGCTTTTTGCAGTCAGAACTGTTGATTGAGCCACGGTATCCATTATTTGGGGGCTGGAAAGCTACTTTTGTCATTGGATATGGGGTGCCAATACAAGATTTCCTATTTGAGTCAGCTGATGGTGCACGCTACCTGAACTACAGTTTCGGATGCCCTTTTGCTGAAACAGTTGTTGACAAGTTGACCATAAAAGTGTGTAGCACTACTAAATCCAATATTGTTCAGTGAGGGATTTGCCTCTGTATCTTGGTTGGCTATGCTAAGTGATATAGTAATGGTATTGATGCAGGTGGTACTTCCTGAAGGATCAGAAGACCCTTCTGTGGTGGTTCCTTTTGATGTGCAGCAGAGTCTGGAGGTAAGCTGTCAGTACCTGGAAGAGAACTTTTATTCATCAGATAATTAGCTTATCATAGGAAATTGTTATTTCAGAAAATGCCTTGACAGTGATACATTAGGTTGAACTCAGTCTACAGTAAAACAGAATGGTACTCCCGCCGTCCCATAATTATTGTCCAGTTTTACTAAAATGAAAGATTTTATTTTTGGTCAAAATTAACTATATTTTACCTTAAACAACCGGATATACCCCTACATAAGTAATTGTTTAACCACTAAGATTTTATGGATAATGTTTTTTACTAAGGACAAATGTGTAACTTGATCCATAAAAAGTCAAATTGGACAATAATTTTGGGACAAAATTTTTTGGGTAAAGTGGACAATAATTATGGGACGGAGGGAGTACTATAAAAGATGTAGGAAAATTTTGCAGCATAAACTCTTACACTTGAATTGGCTAAATCATAATGGTGCAAATGATATAACCATGTTGATTGTTCTATTGTATAGTGAGCCAACAAGTAACAAATAAATTGTATCGGTGGATATGTGCATGTCTGTATGGTGTGATTTTCTAATCAAATTGACTCAATTCATGCGACCCAATTGTTAAGGTTGCTTAGGAAGCTTTTCCTTCCATTGTCATTCCATATTAAAGTCTTAAGCTGTTATAATGAGATTGTCCCTCACTAAACTTTGTTAATTGCTGCAGAAAAAGCACTCATACCTTGATGTTGTTGGAAGGACTGTTGTTGTTCTGGAGAAGAGAAATGTAGTTCCTGATCACAACACTCCTTTCCAGGTAATTCCATTTGTTTTCCTCGACCACTTGACTCAATTTGAGATGGAAATGCTCAGCTCCTTTGGAGTACTTGGGAATTGTATTCCCACTGAGGATCTGTACTTTTGCTGGCCCTTTGTAGTACGACATCAGATTATTTCTGAAAGTCTAATGGGATCATACACTTATGCAGGTCCACTACAAGTTCAATCCAATTTTCATGCTCGCCGAACCGTTGATGCTAGTTTCTGCATTCTTCTTTGTCTTCTTGGCTACCACTGTGTATCTGCACATGGATCTCGCTATACGCAAATCTTGATAGCAGTATTCAGCGAAGCAGAAATTCTCAGAAGAATATTCTTACGTAATCAAAACGCTTGACCTAGATGTTTAACACCCTCTTCTGGTCAGCTCAACTGTTGCAGGTTAAGTATTGCAGCTATAGTGAATGTCAGGCAGGCAATTTTGCAGTTGAGTGATAGTCATATTACCCCTTCCCCAAAAGAGTAGAAGACACAGCATGTAAACCTGTTACCTATACTTAATACTGGTTGGCATATTTAGGCCACTTTCCTTTGTACTAGTTTCATGAAAGACATTTTGGTTATTGAATTCAAATTAGTCAGGTCATATAATTTCTTCAATTCATGACCAAGTATTTTCACCTATTATTGTACGCTTTTGCCTTTTCCATTTTGAGACCGCCAAACAAATGAAATGAAATGAGAAAGACTATAGTATCAGTAACTAAAAATGGTTTAGGGGAAAGACGGTGACAAGCGGTGTATTATAAACAAAATTGTAAATCCAGATTTCTTTTTCTTTCTATTTTTTTCCTTCTCCAACTTCATCTTCTCCTTCCTTTTTATCAAATTTTAAATCCAGATCTAATACAAATCAAAGTTTAAAAAAATGGCGGAACAAAACATACAACAAAGGGAAAGAACACCATCAATACCGGTAAATTTTGTTTTTACCAAATCCTATTCAAAAAAAAAAAATTTAAAAAAAAAAAACTGACTACCTAGGTTGGCCGACCCGACCGACGGTCAGTCCGACCAAGGTTCCTGGGCAAATTTTTTTTTTTTCAAATTTTTTTGTGGTTTTTTTTATTTTTTTGTTGTAATTTTTTGTTATAATAAATTTAGTTAAATTTATTTATAATTAAAGTAATTAGATGTTGTATTATTGTTTGATTAATTTAGTTAAATTTATTTATAATTAATGTAATTAGTTGTTGAATGTTGTGTTATTATTTTTTATATGTCATTTTTTTTTGTGCTTTAGTAACATGTTTAATTTAATTTATTAGGTATAATTTGTTTAATTTAATAATTAGTATAGATTAGGTATATGGTATATATTTGTTTAATTTAATTAAATTTATATTTGTATGTGGTATTTAGTTAGTGTTAATTTTTAGGCTTTAATAATTATTGTTTACGTAAAAGAATTAGTTATTTTGTTATGTATATTGTATTTTTTTAAATTTGATATATTTCATTTACAGGATTATGGTGATGACGGTGTTGATTACAGTCATCATTTCGATACTAACATAAGATTCACAACCATTGAAGCCGCTGTGTTATGGGCAAAAAAGACTGTGATATCTCTTAATTTTACAGTGGTTTAGGCGTCGAAAACAGATGAGACTAAGAAATTATTACGATGTCCAAAGGATGTTCCCCCTAGAGATACGGAGAATCGAGTGCGAGAAACAAATGCGCAGTATTGTGGATGCCCGTTCCAGCTTCTAGCCCAAATTCGCCCAGGCGAATCTACTTTTGGGATTCGTTCATGTCCCGGTCGTAATGATACGCATAACCACCCGTTTGGTAGCTTCGAGGAGGGACATATGCAGATGAGCGGCCTTAGTGATAAATCAAAGGTGATTGTTGACGAGTTGACTGCCATTAATGGAAAACCGTCTACAATGCTGCGGGCGATTCAGTAGAAATGCCAGGACGAGCACGTTGTGATCAAGTAGATATACAACTACAAGAGTAGGATGCAGGTGGAAAAGAGGAAGGGTAAAACGTTGGTGGATCACTTTTTTGACATTACTCAGCAACACAAGGATGTGATTAGTACGGCTAATGAAAAAGGTGTAATGAGTCATATTTTTTGTGCACATCCAGTATCTGTAAAATTGATCCGAGCATACCTGTGGTATATTGGCATGGATATTACTTATAGAACAAACAGGTATAATATGCCGCTTTTACAAATTATTGGGATGACTCCAACCAACAAGAATTTTCTGATTAGATACGTAATTATGAAGGATGAGAAGAAGGAGAGTTATACTTGGACATGTCAGCAGCTTCAGGATATGATTGGATGGGAGGTGCACCCGTATGCCATAGTGACAGATAGGGAGTTAGGGCTGGCAGAATCAATTAGTTTAGTATTTTCAGATTCTGCACATCTTCTGTGCGTGTGGCACATCAACAAATGTGTTTTTGAAAACGCACGGCGTCATTTTGGAAAGAAATTCGCGAACTGGTGAAAGAAGGAGATGTTCGATCCGATACTTGAAGCTCCTACTGAGTACCTTCATGAAATGGATGTGATTGATATGTCGTACTACAGGCACCCAAATGCAAAAAGTTATGGAGAGTTGGTGCATTATGTGAAGACCACTTGGCTAGTTCACAAGGAGAAGTGGGCTCGTGCATGGACAAATGGGGTCACACATCTTGGAAACACAAGTAATTGTAGGGTGGAGAGCGCCCATAGTTCCATGAAGAGATTTCTTGACTTGGTGACCAGTCACCTAGTTACAAGATGGACAAGAATCCACGCAGCGATTGAGTATCAGTTAACTGAGATCAAGTATGTAATTCTTTCGTTATTTAATTTTGTTTTTAACACTTAATTACCAATGTTCTTAAATTAACAGTGAGTAATTTAAAATGTAGGTTCCGCCTAACCGAATCAGAACGCCGTTCGAGGAGAGAGCACTTTCGGTTTCCCTATGACCGTCTAGCTAGACGTGTCTCACATTACTGTTTGGACATTCTTCAAAGTGAGTATACTCGTATGCAGTAATTGGGTGTGGATGATGTTTGTGGTTGTGAGTTGAGAACGACCCGTGAAATCCTCTATGCATGTGAGCTTTAACAGAAAAGGGAATTGCAGGTGCTCATTACAGTTGCTGAACTCCACCCTTTTTGGAGCAGACTTAATTTTACAAGTATGACACATGATTCGGCCCCAAGTGATGATGCTCAACCTTTTATGTCAGAGGACGATTTTTACAGAACTTTACCTTAAGGCGTTCAACAAGAGGCCTGAATTTTTGAGCCGCGTCAATGAGTTTCTGAACCATGACCTAGAAAAAGAGGAACACTATGAGCAGATGAGTTTCGAAGAACAAGAGCAACACCATGATCAGATGAGTTTTGAGGAACCTGCAGTGAAGAGGAGTGTTAAAGGGCGCCCGAAAGCGAATATCCCGCGGAATCGGTGTTATTGGGAGAAGTATACTGTTAGTTCAGGGAGATCTCGCATGAGCACATCCTCGCCTACATACGATAATAGTCGTAAGAATATTTTGAATTTATTTATTTTTGATGTCACATTTTATTTTTAAACATTTTGTTTCGGCAATGTATATAACGTGAATATTGTTTTTTTAGGTGAGCAAAGAGGTTGGAGGACGGATTTTCATTCATATCAGTTTCGACAATCTATTTCGTCTTTTATGATTCCCTTCGTTCGGGGATACCTTGATGTGAGGGGAGGTGAGAACTGTGGGTTCCGATGTGCAGCAGAGTATGTTCGAAATTCAGAAGAGGATTGGCCGTTGGTCCGAACAACCATTATTCAAGATCTTATTAAATGGCCGGATTTATATGATCCTCCGTATTACTACCAAAGGGAACAAAACATACGACAGTTAAGGTGGCTGGTAGATGGATGCCTTCTGCCCCATTATATGGAATGCACACAAGACTTGTACGTGATTGCTACTATCTGGAATGCTGTAGTTTTTCTGTACGGTCTCAGGAATACATTAGATAGGGATCTAGGTTATTATTGTTTGACAGTGTTGCCCCTTACTGATCGTGGAGACGCCGTAAGACCAACTCGTGAGATTGTGCTTGTTTACCTCGGCCGTGTAGATTTCAGTAGTAATTTTCCTGTACCTCCTGTACATCCTTATTGGTTTAGGTGGCATGACAACAATGTTGTAGGCTAGAAAGATGAGTACCACTCTAGGATAGCAGAGTGGAATAGACTATCTAGATCTAATTAGTAGTTGCATAACATTTATTTAAATTGTTAAAACTAGTTATTTAAATTTCATATGTTCCATTGGAAATTTTTTCAAACATTAAAATACATAACATAACATTCTGAAATTAGGAAGAAATCTATGAGGTAACACATAACATAACATTATGAAATTGGGAAGAAATCTAAGAAGTGACACATAACATAACATTCTGAAATTGGAAAAAAATCCAAGAAGTAACATATAACAGCCTAATAAAATACACATTAATCTCTCCGACTCAATCGGAATTCATCCTGAAATTGAGAAAAACAATGCCTTATGCTCCTTTACTCTCTATGCATCAATTTCGCAGATTGTCCAAGTGCGTTTCTTCAGACAATCGGTTGACCCACGACAAAAAATAAAAATAAAAATAAAAAATTATATAATTAATAATATATTGTATAAATATTTCAAGAAATGGTTATGGAATAAAGACTTACGTGAGATGTGGTTCTAAAGCAAGCTCGGCCTGTCTTCGCAACAAGGCCCGACTGAACCCCTGCACCGTGGATTACTTTACTAGTCTGTAGCGTCTGGCTAGTCATTCTTAGAGCCCTCATGGCCAAGTCTTACAATCGACAGTCCCAGGTTGTGCTGTAATCAATCTACCTTCAATGGGAATACCCAATATCTGTCGCATATCGTGTAACATGATGGTCATCTCCCCAAAAAGCATGTGAAACGTGTTGGTGTCCGGCTGACACCTCTCTACAAATGCTGTAATCAATGCCTTATTAATGTTGGTGTGCATGATGTCCGCGATGTGGAATAACCCTGTACCAGCCAACAAGATCTGAGCCTTAATCGACATAGAACCCTTCCATTCTTTCAACAACTTGAAGTATGTGACTCTTGTATCCATCTCCAAGGAGCGTTTATACGACTTATCCGTCAAGCAATGGGCCCCATGACTAAGAAAAATGGGAATAACAGAACCGTCATAAGGGCCACTAATAACTGGTCTCATGACAACCCAAGGCTGGGCATTACTCGCTTAAATTAACATAAACAAATCATTCAATTTTTTCTCGATAAAATATTTGAAAAAAATTAACTACTAAAATGTTAAATATAAACCTCATAAATCAATTTCTTATCTGCTGATGATGATGCAGATGCAGATGCAGTTGTAGATGCAGATGCAGCTCCAAGTCCTCTAACCCTAAGACGAATAATATTTCTTCGTCTAGTTGGAGGTAAATGTGGAAATGAATGTGGAGGTGAATGTGGAGGTGAGTCATCTCCGAAATCATTAAACCCTTTCGAGTCGATATCTTCAGTCGGGACATCATTATTGTCACTCACATTCTGTAGGTCCAAACTGGCATGATCAAATACATCGTCAAGTCCCACACTACTACCGGCCTGACCCATTTGTGACTCACCATTTGACTTATGCCCAGTTGGACTCCGACAACGATATGAGGCAGAAATAACTCGACCATGCATGTCCCGGGTACCCGACTCAAGCAACAATGAAGAATCAGGTACATCTGGCCTTTTCTTTTTTCTCCTTTAAACCTACATTAATGAGTATATATATAACTACTCCACTACAAAAATCAAAATAGAAATTAAAATAAATTCAATTAAATAAATTATACCTAATTAATTTATCCTTTTAACCTACATGAAATATTATATATAAATATTCCATTACAATAATTATTCAAATAGAAATTAAAATAAAATAAATTAAATTACTTATACCTAATTAATTTGTCCATTTAACCTACATTAAATATTATATATACCTATTCTATTAAAATAAAGATTCAAATATAAATTAAAATAAATTCAATTAAATTAATTATACATATTAAATTTATACATTTTTAATGGAATATAAATAAATTAATTACAAAACTAATTAAATTTCTCCCTTTCATTATAAATTAATACAAATTTAATTAAATTAATTACAACTAATAACACAACATTCAACAACTAATTACATTAATTATAAATAATTTAACTAAAATACTTATAAAAATTACAACAAAAAATATATTTTTTTTTAAAAAAAGAAAACTACCCAAGCCCAATCTTTAAGGATTGGCCGGTCCCTGACCAGGCCAATCCACGTCCCTTGGCGGTGAGAAATCCGGCCAAGGTTCCCAGGCTGGCCACCGTTTGGGTCGGCCAGCCTGGGCAGTCTTTTTTTTTTTTTGAACTTTTTTTAAATAGAATTTGGAAACAAAAAAATTACCGACATCGATGAGCTTTCCTATTGTTATTTGCCGCGTTCCGCTATTTTTTTGGTGTCCGATTATTAGTAGATTTAAATTTGAAGAAGAAGAAGAGAGGGGAAAGGAGAAGAAGGAAGGAGGAAGAAAATAGTTCAGGGGTAAAATTGTAAAAAATGAAATATAGGTGAGTAATTTTTGAACTGCGAAAAGCAATTCAGATATAAAATATTCTTTTTTAATATAAACAATTGATTTGTAAATTGACTGGAGAATTTATTTATTGATGATGGCTCCCCCAAAATTGAAAGAGGAAACGAATTAGCCCCCGCGTTTTCTTGCCTTTTGTGCTAAATTGCTAATCCTCCAACCTTTCTCTCACTTTCAATCTTTACACCTGTTTCAAAATCACTCCTGTATTTATTCGCCGCCAACCAGTCCTCTTTTTCCAATTCCGGCAATGGCGGACCCTACGGAGGCGGCGAAACCCTCGGTCGAAGACGGTGAAGTTGAAGACCAGGTTGTGAATCCATGGACAGTAGCTGCGAAGCCTGGAGGCAAAATCGACTACGATAAGTTGATTGACAAATTCGGATGTCAGAAACTGGACCAACCGTTAATCGACCGTGTTCAGCGTCTCACTAACAAGCCTCCACATGTCTTCCTCCGCCGCGGTGTCTTCTTTGCTCATCGTGACTTCGCTCAGCTTCTTGATGCTTATGAGAGAGGGGAGAAGTTCTACTTGTATACTGGCCGTGGTCCTTCTTCTGAAGCCCTGCATCTTGGCCATCTTATTCCCTTCATGTTCACTAAGTAGGATTTTCGCTGAATTCTCTTTCCAGTCAGTGTTTGTATTAGCCTTGAATATTTGATGCTTTGTAGGTAATAATCACTTGGGAAATTCCGCTGTTAATACTGACATGTTTTTGTTTTTCCTTGTTTCGTGTTTAGAATTATGTGTTCAGAATTATCTGACCTAGCTTTTGAATTGGTGTTCATTTATGGCATGTTAAGCTCGTAATTTTTTTTCTTCACCAAATATTTAACAATTCCCAGAAAAGGAAGAAGTGACTATGCCTTTTTAGGTTAAATTATAACTTACATTTTACTTGATAGTTTTTTCCTTATCATGTGATGCCTTCTTTCAAGGTTTTTCGGTTAGATGTTGGAGACAGTCAAATGTTACATTCTATTTGAAGAATTCAGTGCTGGAGTTTATTTTCCTTTGCACTGTTGGGTCCGATATTGTGAAGGTTTTGAAAATAATTTCTTAAACATTTACATTTACAGGTACTTGCAAGATGCTTTTAAAGTTCCTCTGGTGATTCAGTTGACTGATGATGAGAAATGCATGTGGAAGAATTTGTCTGTGGAGGAGAGCCAGAGACTAGCACGCGAGAATGCAAAGGATATAATAGCTTGTGGCTTCGATGTATCAAGGACCTTTATATTCTCTGATTTTGACTATGTTGGAGGGTATGTATTTTCTGCTTTGAACTTTAGACATATATTTTCATCGTCTCCCTACACAATCATAGATGATCAGTGTTTGTTGTTGTTGATTTGTGGATTCTTTATATGCTGTATCAAAGTTGTTCTAGATTTACAGGTTATCTGATTTTTATATAGCTTCTTTGCTTCCTCCAAGCCTTGCTGTCAGTTTGTTTCTTAATCTGTAAATAGTAACTTATCCTGGAATTGATCCGGCAGTTCATTCGATTGTTTACGCGTTCTTTTTCTTGCATAGACAATAATTGCATTTATCTAGTTGCCCCTGCATGTTATTGTTCAAGTTTACATATAATGGGTGGAGTTATTGATTCTAGCTCATATGGAAGCAGCAGAATAGTTGCAGATTGTTGGGGATGTCCCCATTAGACAGTGACTGATCTTCTATAATGTAATGATGTCAATGTTTCATTGGAAAGTTTGCTTATAAGACTGGGGGGAGGATCAGTTTATGGTGTAATCCTAGATACCTTTATCTTAGTGGTACTAATTTGATTTTAGATGAACCAAAACGCGACAATGATAGCAATGTGTTCGAGTATGACCTAAATTTTGACAAGATTCTCCTAGTTATGTGAGCTTTATTGCATTTGTGGGTTGTGTATTTGCTTATGGCATTCATATGGATTCAGCCAAAGATTGGCCTCTCCCTCTCTTGGTACCAATAAGATCTTAATGTTCTAATACAAAATGGAACAAAGAAAGAGGGAAATAGATAGTTGATCCACAGCATCTTGTCAAACCTAGATTAATGTCTCATCATTCCTTGACGTCATTGAAGAAGACATGTTACTGCACTAGGACATGTGTATGAGAGTAGATCTCAACTTCTGAAATGTGAAATGGTGCATATGAAGCAGTATAAGGGATGTTTCTGTAAATGTTGGAGCAATTTCTATTGTCTTGTTTTCTGGTTGTTCCTTGCATGGATATCTGTAGGGTGGTGGTATTGTGTTAATTAAGATGTAGACTCTGTTTAACACAGAATATTGCTCTCTTTCTTTGTAGTGAATTCTACAAAAACATGGTGAGGATTGCAAAATGTGTCACTTACAATAAGGTGGGAATCATTGCAAGCGCTTAGTATTTGTTGTGTTGCCACTGCTATGATGCATAGTGAATTGTGGTTCATAAAATATTTTCAATTATGCTCTCAGGTGGTTGGCATTTTTGGTTTCTCTGGAGAAGATCACATCGGGAAAGTTTCTTTTCCGCCTGTTCAGGTAGTGTTTGAACAAAATACTCGTTACCTCAGTGAAGATTTCGTTTCCGCCTGGTTGTAGTTATATTGCCTAAGTTAGTTTCTCAGATTTCATTTGCAGAACAATAATCTACATTGGGTTGATCATTTTCAATTTTTTTGATGATTTAATGGCTGGACTCTTTATTTCAAAACTTTGTTTATGATAATTCTTCTTTATATGTTAGTCACTTCTTTGATCTAGTCAAAACGCAAGATGTTTCATGGTGAAATATTACATTGACTTTATGCTGATTTTTTTCTTTCATATTGCTCTCCTGATGGTGTCTAGTTTCTCTGCTACATTTTCATATAATACAGTAATATTTTTGCATGTGTTTTTGAAAGAAGGGAACTAAATTTTTGGGACTTCTCTAACTCCAAATTTAGTGGCGAAGCTCCCTCTGCTACCATAATAACATGAAACTACCCTGTATATTTTAAAACTTCAAGCTTAAGCTTCCTGGAATTTTATTGGGACATTCTTACAATTTATTTGAGTTTTATAAGTGTTGCTGGCTTTTTCTATCCTACTGTTGTATTCCGTTTTGAAAAGCTTTCAAGTTTATCATCACAAAAGCACTGTTTCACTTTCCAATTGCCATTTAAGTATTAGGGAGTAATAGGCTTTAACCACGCATGACATTGAAAGGGAAAATTGATAGTAACCAGAACTTTTTAGGCAATCATCACTATAAGTTTCACACTAATTGTGCAAATGATAGTAAGTCTAGTATCAGTTTGCATGTTGTGATTCACTCACTTTCATTTGGATTTTCGCAGGCGGCTCCATCCTTTCCAAGTTCATTTCCGCATCTTTTTTCTGGTAAAGAAAACCTTCGCTGTTTGATTCCTTGTGCAATTGATCAGGTATAAACTCATCCCAGGTCTTTTATTCGGCTAGTAAAACTGCAGATTTTTTGGGTGAAATGATCTTTTGCTGCGATTTTAACTGGGGGTCACCCCTGAGGAATTCCTTTCTTTTCTTTCTGAAAAGGACATGTTTTTGATGCTGTAAACTGGCTAATTTCTGTTGCTATTTTCCTCTTTATCTTAGTCCTCTTTTTAGTGTGAGTCCATGTTGCTATCTAGAATTGAAAACTTGATTGGTGGGTCCTTAAACGTAGTTGAGTCTGGGTACATTTTGGTTATAATTTGAAGGGCTTGTCAATGTTTGAGTCTGGGATTTCCTCATATCTCCACTTGGGCATATTATAAAGAAATTTATTAGTAATTTCTTCAATTAGCTGGTTGTCCATGTACATTATTTGATTGAAATAGTTCCAGATATTTTGCATGTTTCATGTTTCTGCATTAATGCATATTTTTCCTTTCAGGATCCTTATTTCCGGATGACACGAGATGTTGCTCCTCGAATAGGATATAACAAACCATCGTTGATTGAATCAACATTTTTTCCTGCGCTTCAGGTTTTCTTTACCTCCCAGATGCTTTTCCTTTCTCCCTTTTCTTTTTAGTGAGTGAACTTATGATTTCTGATATGATTTGACTGTCCAACCATGTGCACTCTCGCCTAACTTTTTTCTTCTGGGAAGTTTTTAGTTCACAGAGTTATTGTATTGATCTATAATTCTGTTGGATTTCTGCTTCAGAACTTAGTTCCCAGAGTAATTTTGTTTCCTTCTTAAAAGCGTAGCAATAAAGTTAATTGGCTTTGTACCCTAGTGTCTAAACAAAACATCAGAGACGAGAGCATTTTCATTGAATTTGGAAATGCAACAAGTCACTTTGTAACAGCGTGACAGTGTTCCACATTATGCTGTCTGTTAAAGAAGTTATCCTCTACTGTAACAATATCTGAATATCTGATCAAATTGCCTATTTTCTGCAAAATCCTGAACATTAATCGAACTGGCGAACGTATAAGCCAATATATGTGATATTTCGTTAGTTATTTCTTTGCAACACATGAGAGGAATTTCTTGTCAGCATAGTTGCTTCATGGAAGAGAAAGTCCTCTTTATTGGATTCGAATAGGTGGTGAGCTCATCATGTCCATGTTACTTGCTTGGGGTAGAAAAGATTCATTTTCTTATCATATAGTATGTGTTCCTCTAAACTTTTGAGAGCTAGTTATTGCTGTTTTTTCGCTCATTTTCCACTTATAAGATTTCTTTCTTCTGTAGCTACAGCATGACACTTTTAACTAGGCTCCCACTACCATTTCTAGCTTTTAATACTAGTTGCCTTACTGTTAGCAGTTGACTGTTAATGATTAAGCTTATAGCAAAACTTTTTTTTTTAATTAATTTATTTATTTTTATAATGCGATGAATGTTGGACTTTGTTGGAATCATGGTTTCTGCTGTTCGTTCAGAAATAATTTTTTCCAGCTCTGCCAGTTTCGTGGTAGAATTATGTATATTAGTATTATGCCTTTAATAGCTGCCGCATAACCCAATAATTGCAGAATTAAACTTTTCTCTTAGCTTTTTGGTGTTTACTTGTCAATTAGATTTTGGTCTTGTAGCCCTTTACTTCATGTTACCAAATCCTGAATATGTTCATTTACATTTGAGTGATGACATCTTGAAATTATGTTTACAGGGTGAAGGGGGGAAAATGGGTGCCAGTGACCCAAATTCGGCTATTTTTGTCACAGATACTGCAAAGGAGATAAAGAATAAGGTTTCCCTCCACAATTTGTCTGCATGTGATTCTCAACATGGTGTCTTTGCATTATTTAATTGCATTTTCTTTTTCAACTCTCCTGTTCCAATGGTTTATTGATGTCGAACTAAGAGCTGAAAGTAAAATGAACAATTATTTGCAGACTTGTTACATAAATGGTTTATAATGATTTCTTTCTCCCAGTCATGGTACATGAATCCTGTTCTTTCTTGCTTGATTTTTTTATCGTCTCTTCAGCTCCATAATGTTGCCACCTGTCGAGGTGTTAGTGATCTGCAGAAATACATTCAGTGAACTGTTTATATTTGCAATTCACTTGTTAATGTATAGTTCAACTTCTTGTCACATGTGAACCAAAATCTAAATGGTGCCTTAATTTCTGTAATTAAGTTTCAATTATCTTGTGCCTGAGCGAGACCTCATTTTGTCCTTGGAAGCCTGTTTCTCTGCAATAATGAGCGATGAGGCAGTAGCCAATCACTACTTCCCCTCATCTGCTTGATATGTTGTGAACTTGGCTCTCTCAGTGATGCAAATTATCATACATTAGGGACTCATGTTACCATTTCCTACAAGCAATGGACTAGTTATTGTTTTGAGTTTCAAAAGTTCGCTGTCTGCCTACTTGCTGGAGTAAATAAATATATTCGTTTCTATTTGTCAGAAGGGTTAAGAACAAATTGATTTTACACTAATGCTCATTTATGATGTTGGCTTATATCTGCTTTGTTTTTGTGCTTGCATAGATAAACAAGTTTGCATTCTCTGGTGGAAAAGATACTATTGAGAATCAACGGAAGTATGGAGCAGACCTTGAGGTACTAATATTGGTTCATCCAGTATTAAGCTTTATGCCATATTGTCATCTATTTATTTACTTCTTTGTATCATTTATAAATTTACTATCGTGTTTTTTCTTTTTCTTTTTCTGGGCGATGATGTTACTGCGCCTTTTATTTGGATAACTAATTTTACGCCACGAAAAGGAATAAAACCTATTTGTAGGCTCTAATAAACTTAAGTGTTCATGTGGAGAATTCAGGTCGAGGTGGATATGGTTAGGAGATAGGAATCAGATTTATGTGTGTCTTAGCTCAGGCATGGTGTTTGCTTTACATTTAATATTTGTTTTGGTAAATGTTTTTTCCATGTTTTTGAGCAGCACTACCCCTTTTTTCTGTTTTCCAGGTGGATATTCCCGTCAAGTATCTTGGATTTTTCCTGGATGATGATGTTGAACTTGAACATATTAGAACGGTAAGTTAATTATCTAACTGATTTTGGTGTTTAAGATGCTAAACATTTTTGGTCTCATAGTTGTTCCAGAAATTACTCCCATGTTGCGTAACAAGCATTCTAAATGTCGCTCTTATTCTCTTTTAGGAATATGGCGCTGGGCGAATGCTAACAGGGGAAGTTAAGCAGCGACTCATCCAAGTACTTACTGAAGTTGTAGAAAGACATCGTAAAGCTCGTGCTGCAGTGACTGATGAGGTAAGTGACTCTTTTCATCCGGCAGATGGTAAAGCATTAAACTAAATTGTTTACCATTGCCATCTCCTGATTAATAAGAACCTTCTGTTTCATTCTAGCTTAGTTTCCTGACTGCTTTTTGCTGATATATTATACCAAAGATAAGGCTTAATGACAATGCAGATTGTTTTCCAGAGAAGTGAGAACTACTCCCTCTGTCCTGAAAAATAGTCCAAACAGTACATATCTCGAAGCTCACTGTGGACTATTTTTTTGTGACAGAGGGAGTATATCACAGTGGCTGCTTCAATCCTCTATGTTCCTTGTTTTTAAATTAAAAAAGAGTACAATGTGTTCAAGAAAGAAAAAGTTACTTATATCGCCTTTGTGTTTGCAGATGGTAGATGCATTTATGGCTGTTAGACCTTTGCCGAATATGTTCAGCTAATTGGCAAAGTAGGTACTTTGGAAGACCATTAGAGACTATCCTACACGTTAGGAGCAAATGTTTTGCAATTTTTATGACTTGTATGAGGCTGTTGATACTCATAGGCATTGAGCAAAGCAGAAGCTGGATAATCGTGATATTGCAGTCTGAAAATTTCCACCTCTTTTTGAGACTGACCTCCAAAGAAGGGAATCTTTTCTTTGTTGCTTTACCACCGTAGCTTATAGAACTAGAAATACATACACGTTCAAAGTTCTAAACCTTTCCTTAGAGTTTTGGATGTTGAATTGCAGATTGTAATGATTCGAGTCACAACTCACAATACGTTGAAAATATTTCTCACATAGGCAAAGAGGCCTTTACAGCCAAGTCAACATCTTTGCCACTACATTACTAGTAATGAATGGTAGTTTCTTGTGTCGAAGGGGCAGAACTGTTTTCGTTAGATGAATAACGCGCTTTTTTATGGCCGTAAGGTTTCACGTCAAGTTTATGTTACTCACGAAATAAGCATAAGTGATGGTCGTGTCACATTAGTATTTTGTATGTATTGCGGATTGATGCCTATAGATTAACCAAAAGTTAAAATAAAAAAATTCCTATTACATCACATCTTCCTCCCTCCCCCTGCACGAGTTGCTCCTACCTCGTAAGTTTCGTGAGGAAAACGAAAAACCTTCACCAAGTCTGAACTTGCCTAAGACAAGCCAAACTTTTATGGATTAAAAATTGTTATCTCGCTTGACTTGAGATCACATCACGTCTTCGCCGGTTAGATTTGACGGAAGGTATTATATTAGTATAATATTATAGATATGAAAAACGTAAGACCTAATTAAGTTGGCCACTTGGAATATTGGACATTTCATGTCTATATGATCTCAATCTATGTGGTGGGCTAATAGAAGTCTTCTCAGTTTTATCAAATGGTAACTGACTAACTTAGACGACTTTTTGTGCAATTTCTTTAATACCTTTTTGTTTTGAGGATTTCTGGCTACACCGGTAGGTTCTTCCATGAAAAATTAGACAGGCGACGACTTTGGACATGATGGATGAATACCGGTTTGCTTGTTCGAGTGCTTGTCCGGCAGCTTTCAACTTTCAAGTCAAATCACAGATAAACAAATACTCATTAATAAGATCAAATGGAGATGCAACAGTCGTGTATTAATGAATTTTGTAGGTAAAATATTTGAGTTTCATGAACATGGGTATAATAATACTTAATAAATAAATGAAAGTAGTTGGTTTGGAGTTAGATATTTCTATCTAATTACTGTCAAATGTAAAGGACCTGCATTTTCGGGAAAAAAAAAATTAATGATCTAACAATATATAGCAATTTTCTCAAAACATTTATTCTATTAATAAGCTAGTATGAACATTGGATTTCATAGAGTAGAGAGTATTGGTTTGGAATACTCTCTTCACAAAAGGTTTCAAAGTGACACTCTCTATTTAAAGTAGAATAATACAACGAACAAAAGTTTTTTTTCCCCTTTTTTTTTTCCATACGAGAACTTTTTCACTATTCATTTTGTTGAAGTTATTTTCAATATATTGTAGGATACAACTAATAAGTTGTGCCTATTATTGGCTTTTATTATATTACAAGGACATAACTAATAAGTTGTGCTTATGGCCTCCATATGAAAAGACATTAACGAAAAGTTATGTTTAGGACCATAACCAAAGGTTACGTCTAATCCTCAAGAGTTTCATAAAACTCCATAGATATGGATCATTTGGATGTTTTTAGTGTACAATGAAATCACTATTTCCAATGACATTTCTTATCCTTGTATCAAGTTGTTGATTCACTAAAGTGCATAGTGAAACAACATGATCTCCATTTTATCTCATAAGGAATTCGCCTAAATAATTGCACTGTATAGTGGGCAAATTTAACCTAAAGGAAAGCAACTTTACTTGTGACTTGGAGACAAAACTTTCTTTTATCCTAACTATAAATTCTTCATGTTGTTCTTTGACTTACTACAACCATTGTTGTCCACTATTCTTGAAGTAGAATTCCAACAATATTTAGGCTAAATTTCGTTTACACAATGGCTAGCACTTGAAGAGTCAAGCAATAATATTTTCGTTTCACACGAAAATGGTGAAAATGTTGCAGATCTTTGGATTCAAATGAGAAAGGGCAATGGTAGGATACAATGGATCACGTCAACAAAGTAAGAAATATGTATATTTATTATTGCGAGGGTTTAACATTTTGTGATAATGTTTTGAGAATTAATATCTCTAACTTGAGCAGGAAGTCTTTTCTAAAAATAAAAAAAAATCTACTCCAGTACTGGACTCCGCTTTTTTTTTTACATTAAAAAAATTAGATTTCTCCAGTGAGAATCGAACCTCGAACACAGTTTTAATCATCTCATATCTTAAATCACCTAACCATCCAATGCAACCCTCTTACCTTTAGTGGACTCCGCTTAAACGTGGGTAAAATCACTCTCCCGGTTAGAAATACTTTGGTGACAATTAATCTTATATCTACTCTCATGAAACTTAACACCCTAAACACTACACAATACCCTATATTTTAATTTAATAATTTTTTTAATTGGATAATACAATCTATAGTCTGTTTAGTTAATTTGCAATAAATTAAAATGTACTAATCTATAGTTTTTTAATCTATGCTAAATATTTTTATTTTTTTGTAAAAAATTAGTTTTAATCAAAAAAATCTTATTCTTTAAATTGAAAAAGACGAATTAAAAGAATAATATCATTATTGTCTAGCCATATTATTAAAAAAATTAATATATTTATGTAAATCAATCATGAGTTACAAAATGCATATCTATAAATTTGTACTGTAGTGTTTAAAAATAAATTATTTATTTAAAAGATCATATATTATATTTTTATAGTTATGAAAAATAGTAAAAAGAAATAAAAATAAGAAAAATTTAAATAAAAACTGAAAAGAGATTATTTTGTAATTTTTATAAATTTTTAAAACTATTAGGGTATTTTTGTAATTAAAACAAATAGAATTCCGTTAATTTAGACGGAAAATAGTAAATTGGACAAAATCAGCTAACGGTTGGATAGTTTAGGGTAATATTAACTAACCAAAAAAGAAAAGGGTAGAATTGATGACGCATGTAAAGTTTTGGGTAGGTCCGCCAATTTTTCCCAAGTTCAAGGTATGTGTTTATCTAATAAATACATGAATATAGTGACGTGATCTATGCTTGAGTGAAATATGGTCGTAAATTTATGAAGTTCTGCGTGTAAAAGAAATTAACTATGCATTATTTGTTGATTGCCCAAATGTGTGATTTTTATCAAAATAAAATACTTAATTAATGTGATGATTAATTAAGAAAATGTATGTCATAAAAGGTTTGATAGAGAATTTGGCCATGTTTTATCATGCTTTAAAAAGGAAATGCAAAATTAGCATTTATATTATATAACAATAGAGCTTGTATTGCATGTTATAAATTTTCTGTTAAGTGGTGTCAACCTTGTTGATAATGAAAGAATGTCGACAGAAAAGTCGACATTTTTTGGAATTTGTTATGTGTTTTGTTTGGTATTGTCAACTTGTTCGTCAACTAGAGTAAAGTTGACAGAAAAGTCGACATCCTTCAAAGTGTCTGGTTCTTTGGTCTCGTCGACTTAATCGTCGCTTGGATAAAATTGACAGAAAAGTCAACGACAGAAACTTAAGTAAAACAAAACAAAATAAAATAATAAATTCTTGTGAGTGCATCACATTTAATTATTTGATTTTGAGTCAATCAAATTAATAAAGAACTTTGATCCCAATAAAGTTCTAGTTTCGTGTATTTGTATTTTGTTACATGATGAGAATTTAATTGCTTAAATGACTTTCCAATTTATATGATAATTTCATATGATACATAGTATGATTCATACAAAAATGCGAGTTTTGCATTCTGGAAATTATAAAACAATTTAAGAGTGAATTGTTTTTGTACATGTAATGCATTATTCAGGATTAAATTAAATATGTTGCATGAATGAATAATTTTCATGAAGTGACACAAATTGTTAGTAATCATTAACTCGAAAAAAGTGTCGTTCATGAATTATTATGACTTTTTGAATTTATTTGGATGAATAGATACACTAAAAGGTATGTCTAGTGAGTCTAAATAAAAAAGACAACAATGAACAATTGCGTCTAGAGACTCATGGCTAAATGACACAAACCAAAATTTGCGTCTAATCGTGACATCAACATAAAGTGATGTCTAGTATTTTTACTTGAAAAGATACGAGTCAAAATCGTGTCAAGTCATCTAAAAGGTAACGTGAAACCAAAGGGTGTGAATGAAAAAGATATAAATAAAAAGTTATATCTAGTCATTCAAGAAGCACACACCCAAAGGTTGTTAATGAAAAGATACGAGTTATACATGTGTCTTATTTATGAAAAGTCACATGATATGTGGTCTATATGATATATTCTGATATCAATATACATTATGAATATGCCAAGTTGTCATTATTATATGAAGATAATGATATTTTATATTTTGTACACAGCTACTCTAATTTGTGAAATTATTTTTTGACATGAAAGGAAGTAGTGTTGATTTTATATACATGTATCAAATTAGTGCTTATTGAAGAAATATTCAAATGACAAATGGGTCATTATATATTTGTATGTAGATAACAAGTTAATTTTTTGGTATATATAGACTTGGAATAAGTCTTAGAAACTAAAAAGAAAAAATTGTTATCTATTAAGTTTGAGATTGAAGACATGATCAAAACAAATGTCTTGTTTGAAAAGGAATTGAGAGAAAGTGTGATATAATCACGCATACTCTACCTCTCTATACAGAGAAAGTTCCTTGAAGGTTCAATCATTAAATTGAAACCTGAGTGATTCCCGTAAAACTTATCATACAATATGTTAAAAGTTAAAGGGAACTTTTTTCTCAAAGTAAGATGCACATATAGTTAAAAGTTTGATATGATGTATGGGACTTGCATAATTGTATGATTTTAATTGAGATTACTGAATTTAGTGTGATGTATGAAAATTGAAATCAAAAGATCAATTAATGCATATGTTTATAGTTTATATACATGTATTCTAGCATATATGAACCTATGTGAAATATGGTCAAAAGTTTGAGCTTGTATAATATAAAGTATTGCTTATTGTACACCAATAGAAAGATGTGTTAATATTTAAGACATTAAACAAAACTGTATGTTATCTAACTATGGCATTTAGTTAATGCTTAAGGGCAAAGTTATTCAAGAGCTTGTGATATATTGATAAAACTCTAAATACTAGAGACTCTATATATAAGCCCTATATATTTTCTTTGGACTAAAGAAAACTGAACCTCAATCACTAAGAATTAGAGGTTGTCGGTCAATTGTCAAGGTCCCATAACCTAATACAAGGAAGTTAGGAGAAAAAGGTGTTTCGTGCATTTTCACTGGATGTACACATAATAATTTGGTCTATTGGTTTCAATAGATGCTATCTCCAATGAAGATAGATACAGCTTAATGTTGATAATGACTAGAACTGAAAAGAGACAATTTGAACTAAGATCAATGCTCAAGTCATTAAGGCGTAAGAAGCAAATAACAAGAAGGGTTTGATTAGTGGTATATATCTTGTTATAAGAACAAGATTTGAATATTAGTAACAAAATCTCTGGTTGATGTAATATCAACATTAGCTCAAATTCGACATTTGCAAAGTTACATGATAAGTAACAAATAAAAATAACTATGTGTGCTAGTAGCTTAATTTAAATTGATGCTACACTTATTTTTGGTAATTATATTATGACAATGGTGATATAGTTATGAATTTACATAATATGTGTTAATATATATGGTTTGTAAATTCATGTCTTACTATATGCTTGAATTATTTGTGTAAATATTTTAAAGTTTTCATGACATCTCAAAGAAAAGGGAGATCATATATTTGGAAAATTTGAAATTCTTCATATAGAATGAAAGAGTTAAAAGAGAATAAAAAAAATTCTCTATTAAAGTTGAAGGAAAAGGAGAATGATCCTTGATCTAAGTCCACATTGTGGAAAATGGACAAAACATGAAGTCCATGTTTGAAATCATATCACCCTAGAGAACAATGAATAAAGTAATAGGAAAGCTATCATATTATAACAAGGAATGACACTAAGAGCTCAAGTGTAAAAAATTCCTGTAACAAGAGAAATAGAGCTAATTTTTCCAGGAATATGACTAAAAGAAAATCCTTACATGGTGATTTCAAAACTTCATATTAGAAAAGATGATTTCATTGTTGGGATGATTACAAAGTTTGAAAGAACAAATTGGTTCTTCAAGTTACTAATTATGATCATATTAATTAACAGTTTGCATACATTATTATTTAAATTGTGATCACAAGATGAGTTAATGGACTCATATTGAGAATTAAAATTCTTGACACGACTTGAGTCAATAGACTCGTGTGAAGAGATGATCCTTAAAATTTGAGTTAACAAACTCATAAGTAAGGACTAAATCTTGAAAGACATTTGGTCTAAACACTGAATGACTTAAATGGATATGTCTAAAGTCTAGAAATGATTGCTTGCAATGGAACCTCAATTCAACGCTAGTAAATGCGCTAGTCTTGATTCAATAAGCGATAGTACAATGTACAAGTAATTGAGCACTACAATATTTATCCCAAGGTAGTTAGTGCTATATATTTCTCGCTGGGTGTCAGGTTGAGAATTAGCTCTTAACAAACTCTTGTAAATGCTAAAATGGCGGGGGCATTAAGAAGTTTGCCTATATGAATGTTGGACTAGGCATCCACAAAACTTGGGACTTGACTTTGTTAACATTCATGAAGAGATATGGGTGTAAGACCTTATGTACGATACGAACTGGCAAGGTACAGGCAAGTTGAGGAGAAAGAAATCTATGTGTATTGACAATAGTGGTTGTAATATGTATGCACGGTTCAAAGCTAGTCTACCGGATTGTATTACAAGTTATGAACCCGACACTAAAGTAGTGGTGCAAGTCTAACGACACCATTACTTTATGCATGTGTTTTGCTGAAATTATTCTGGATCCATTTAAAAAGCATGTTCAATATATTGAAAATGACGGGGGATTGTTGGAGTTAATATATTGTAGGACACAACTAATAAGTTGTGCCTATTATTAGCTTCCAATATGTTGCAAGGACACAACTAATAAGTTGTGCCTATGGACTCCATATGGAAAGACATTAACGAAAAGTTATGTCTAGGACCATAACCAAGTGTTACGTCTAATCCTCAAGAGTTTCCTAATATTCTATAAATATGGATCATTTGGATACTTTTAGTGTACAATAAAATCACCAAATACTTAGAATATTTCCAATAACATTTTTTATTCTTGTATTAGGTTGTTGGTTCACTAAAGTGCATACTGAAACAACATGATTTCTGTTTTATCTCATAGAGAATTCGCTTAGACAATTGCACTGTATAGTGGGCAAATTTAGCCTAAAAGAAAGTAAATTTACTTGTGACTTGGAGACAAAATTTTTTTTTACCCTAACCATAAATTTTTCCTCTTATTCTTTGATCTAATATAGCCATTATTATTCACTATTTTTGAAGTAGAATTCCAACACATTTTACTCGATCCATAATTAGCATATGCACCTGAATAATGTAGGCCTAAACGGCTAAACATGATAATTTTTTTGACACTGACTTTCTGGAACTCATGCACTCGATTACAGAGAACAAGACCTTTGCATATATCTTTTGCGATGGCCATGATTAGGAGGCACAATTTTTGTCTGGCATGCTTTTTCTTTTCCTCTCTCATTTTGCCAACCTTCTTTTGGGTTGAATCCAAGATACATGCATGCACGTCAATAGGGTACTGGGTAAAACTAAGAAAAGTTTATTCGCAATTACTACGTATAGGAGCATGCATTTTAATCATCTAAATGATCGAGTTGATTTGTAGCATAAAAGTGTATCATTAAAATGGTTATGCAAGTTTGGTAAACTCGCAGAAGTGCTTCGTGGATCCGATTTACAATTACAAACGATATTTAAAGTAGATTTTCTATTTCATTTTTTTTATTTTTATTTGTTGCTTCTTCTTCATCTTTTTTTTTTTTTTTTTGGTTGCGTATAGAAACCATAAATAAATTGTAGGTAAGTACGCACCACACCACACTGATCAAGTTGATCTCCATTAGAAACTCAGTCCATTTTAGAAGGTAAAACTTTTCAAATTAATATCTTAATCACTGTAATATACGCTCGTAACAGAATTAAAATTTTCTAATGTATAAAGTTGTTAACCATACTTTTTCAAGCCTCGGTTCCAAATAAGTGATCATCTCAAAGGCTCCTCAGGCCTGCAAACGTTCATTTTAAAAAATATGGTCAACCAAGAGTGCATGTCGACCGAATCACAGCTACAGAAAAGGGTGTAAAAAAGAGAAAGAACGATGGATTGAATATTCTATGGTTTCGCATATAGGCATGCCAGTGTTTTGCTAGCATCATGATAAAAATAAATAAATAACCAAAAAATTGATCAAGGTTTGACTACTTGGAAGTTTATTGTAGTAAAAAAGGGTAGAGAGGCAGATAACCGAGTGACAGCTTTGCTTGATTTTGGACAAAATCTTTTTATTTGGAAGAAACGAGGAATCAAATCAAATGAAATGGTAACCTTATTTTACGCCAAATGACCCTGAAACCAACCAAACAGAATATCCCATCTTTCTCCTTGTCCTCCCCTTGGCTTGTAGAGTCAGTTACATATGTGTTCTTACTTCTACCAAACTTTTGCTTTTAATAATGATGTTGTATGATATTTTTTGGGGTCTCTAATTACACTAGATCAAAGCAATCTATATCCATCCTCCTTTTTTGTTATTATTTTAAAGTTAAAGCATCAATTAGTGTATGTTAAGATGAACCAATCAATGACCATTGCTTGTTGAATTCACTCTTCTAAATTGTTACTCCATGCAAATATGGCATAATGCAACTAGCCGAAAGCTGCCACAATGTTTTTTTTTTTTTTTTTAATTTTGGCCCGCGTTTTAACTCTTAATGGTGAATTATACAAGCTTTAAAAAACCTTCAGGACTATACTAAAGAAGCCAAACATTTCACATTTGTCTATCAAAATACTCCTTTGAGCATGTTGTCCCCCCACCCCCATTTTTGTTGCCTTTGCATTTCAGCATTTTGCTTCTTTTTTTTTTCTTTTTCCCTTTCTTAACATATATACTTTTGGTTACTACTAAAATAAATACTAATTAGTTGGAGAATTTGCCCAAAAAAGGGGGAGAAAAAGAAAAGGAAAAGGAAAAGAGAAATTGTTGGCCAAAGAAATGACAAAGGGCAAATAAGCAAAATCACACGCTTGCCACCTTTGTCTCTTGGTCATCATAAAGAAGCACAAGCAGTTATTTTTCCAAACGGGAGGAGGGGAGACCGAAAAAAAAAATTCCAAAAAAAAAAAAAGAAAAACCAGAAACAAATTAAAAAAAAAAAAAAAACAAGCAAGAATACAGAATTTTTTGTATTGCATTCTTGCTACAAAATCTAAAAAGTTTCTGGCATTCTGCAGTTTTGATTCTCTGATTCCTCTTTTGGAATCAGGGGATCATTTTTCTCTCTTCTAACCTTCCCCATTTCCCCCCCCTTTCCTTCATTGTTTCAGGTGTGTATGCAGAGGAAATCATCTTGGTTATTTTCATTATCTTGGAGATAAATTTCCTTTTGCAAAGAATTTGAAGGAAACTTGGGAAGTTCTTTAGTGGGTTTTGGAATTTACATGCTATAACAAAAACCCAAAAAAGATTGGTGCTGGAGGAATCAATAAAGTTTTGATCTTTATTAGTTCTTCTGGAAATGGGAAGCCCCCAAAGTGAAGGAAAAATGGAGGGCTGGCTTTATCTTATTCGTTTTAATCGATTTGGTCTGCAATCTTCACGTAAAAGATACTTCATTCTTGAAGACTACTGCCTTAAAAGCTTCAAATCCGTGCCAACTTCTGAGCGCGAGGTGCGCCATTTTCTCTCTGTTCTGCCTTTCTCTTTTTTCTTTATTGGGCTTTGATCATGCATGGTGAATTGGTGTCTCGATGCAGAGATTTTTTTTTTCTGCACATATGAAAAAGGGTATGAATAATGTCAATGTCATGACTAGTTATCTTTATTTTTATCTTCTCTTCCTGAATTTTTTTTTTCCCATTTGATTGACGGTGTTGCAGTCTTCCCCCATCCGGCCAAAAAAATCGAATTTAACAGTGAAATTACGTGGGTTGGTAAAGCGTTTCATGTATATGGGTTGTTGCTTGTAGTAATTGCTACTCTTATAAGGATTATCTTGTAAATTTGGTTTATTCTGTCGTTTCGATTTAGTTAATTTGTAATCTTTGTCCTTCTTGGTAAAATATACTAACTAGTAAGTATTCGTTTGTTAGGTTTATTAGAGGGCTGTCAAATTTGTGTTTGGAGTGCCTGTGTTCTTCGTTTCTGTTCGCTTTGCCATTTGGGTGAATAATTTGTATTGTGCAAGTTTCAGGCATTATATATGCTTGGATCGCATCAGCAGTAATTAACTTCAAAATTATCGAATTTACCTGATGCTTTATTGTAAAATCCATTAGAGAGTAACATTTCTGGCTGTGTTGTTCTTGGGTTATTTTTATATCAAATTATTTACGATTACGGCTTGAATTTTCAGAGTTCAAGTCTTCTTATGAACTATGATAATGGCTTCTTCTCGGTTACAGTGGTGAAAAAAAAAGTGGTTCTTTTTCTTCATTTCTGAATTTCCTGCAGTTTTAAAATTTTTTTTGTGGTATCATCTGTTAGCTAGAGTGGCTGTTGCTTATTTCACTTATTTTTGCTTAGCTCTATTTAACCTGAATGGTTTGTCCCTTCCTTTAGGAGCCAGTAAGAAGCGCAATCATAGACTCCTGCATACGGGTCACAGATAATGGGAGGGAGAGCCATCATAGAAGAGTGAGCTCCTAAAAAAATTTACTGAGTATTTCACTTAAAGTAATATTTATTAGACTTATTTTGCAGTAATTGGATCATTCTTGCATGCAGGTGTTCTTCATTTTCACCTTATACAATGCTTCCAATCATAATGATCAGTTGAAGGTATGTCAACTTCGGTATATCTTAGGATTCACATTTATGAATGGGGCTTTATTCTGTTCTGCGTTTCACTTTCAGTTGGGAGCACGCAGTTCAGAAGAAGCAGCAAGATGGATCCAATCTTTGCAGGAGGTTGCACTAAACCCTAAGGATGTCGCAGCTTCTTCCAAAAGAAAGTGGCAGCCCTTCAGGTAATTTCATGCATTGAAATACTTATAAATTATTTTCACTGTTATCGCTGCAACATATGATTTTTTTTTTGGTTATATTAATGAACCATGAGTATCTAAAATTAGATCAGTTTTGTCCTTCTGATCAATGGAGATAATTTAACTAGATTGTTTCTTAACGTTTACTGGTTGTGTGGGCTTCAATCTATACATTACTTGTTTTAGGTTGTGGCTTTGTGTATTGTACAGTATGTTTATCTCCCTCTCTGTGAGAGATTTCTCTGAATTCTGTTTGTGATGTTCATGAGGGCAGGAAGCGAGTTCTGTTATACAGAAATGTGCATGGATGTCATGATTTCTGATGTTGTATTAAAATCTCTTTTGACAGATTAAACATATCCAAGAGGGATACCCATAAAAGGTACATGGATGGGACTGCTTTAACATCAATGCGGGTTGATGCTATGACATCTGATGTTATTGCACCTTCACCGTGGAAGATATTTGGTTGCCAAAATGGTAAGGAATGAAAACTTGTGCTGTTTTATGGACCTTATAGTTGTTGATCTGATGCAACAACAACTGAGCTTTTATCCTTATATGTGGGATCTCATGTGATCTTCTCAGGGTTGAGGCTATTTAAGGAAGCCAAGGAACGAGATGCCGGTGGAAAGGTTGGTCTCCTAGAATTCAACTTATGATTGAATTAGCCATTGGTGGCATCTTTTAGTACTTATAAATGTGTTTCCTTTTTAAAGGCTTGGGATGATCATCCTGCAATAATGGCAGTTGGAGTTGTAGATGGATCCTCAGAGGCAATTTTTCGCACGATAATGTCACTTGGTCCATCAAGAACAGAGTAAGAAACCTTATTAGTTGCCAGACATTTCAAAGCGTGTTTCTGAAGCTCTAATTAGCAGAATGTAACTGGTTGAATTAGCAACCTAACTTCTTTCAAAGTTAGAAATTTTTTTTTTTTTTGTCAGATGGGATTTCTGTTTTTACCGGGGCAGTGTGGTTGAGCATCTTGATGGCCATACTGATATAGTCCACATGAAACTTTATAGCCACTGGCTTCCTTGGTCAGTATTTACACTTTAATACTGAACTATTACCTTATTGTTTCAGTGTTTAACTACTTTTAGCTTGCAGGGGAATGAAACGAAGAGATTTGCTGCTGCGACGATATTGGAGAAGAGAGGATGATGGCACTTACGGTATTTTAACAAATAATCATTTTCAGAATGTTATGCTGTCATCATTGCGAATCTTATATCTACTTTCCTGTTCCAGTGATTCTTTACCACTCTGTGGTTCATAGACGGTGCCCACCACAACCTGGATATGTCCGAGCCAGCCTTAAAAGTAATGTACGCTTTAACTTAGAGTAAACTATAGCCTTTATCCTTCTCAATTCCAAGTCTTGAATATATGATGATCAAGGTCCTGATTTGTCCAATCCATAACACATTTTTCTATGATGACTGCTGCACTTTATACTGTTCTGATTGTGGATTTAGCATCTACTTGCGCAATCAATATCTATTAAGAAGTTGGGAATGAACCTGTGAATCACTGAGTTCGATAAAGTAAAGCTGTTCTACTGGAATGGTAGGGAACAAATTTTTGAGAAACTTAGGCTGGGTTGTTCTCCGATAGGTCCCTTTCCCAAGCTCTAAATAACATACTTCACGAGAGATGCTACAGTAACAATCTCTCTCTCTCTCTCTCTCTCACACACACACACACACACACAGAGGATCTGTGTGAGCGACGTGCAGTCCTGAGCTTGTATTCTGAATTTTTTTTTCGATGCTAGGGCACTTTTACTTGAAACACTTGTGGGAAGTGGGAATATGCAAAGCTTGACTCATTTTATTCATAATATATGCAGGTGGTGGATATGTTATATCTCCGCTAAATCAGGGCAAGAAGTCTGTTGTGAAAAAAATGTTGGCCATTGATTGGAAGTTTTGGAAATCTTTTCTTAGAAAAGCATCTGCAAGATCTATCACTATTTGTATGCTTGGCAGAGTTGCAGGTATCTTTTCATGCTTAATTAAGAAGATTTTCTTCATGCTTTTCCCTCTGTAGCATTCTGAGTTTTTCCAAGCTGGGACTCAGAGAGAAAAATGACCTCTATTCTTGTGTGCTCCAGCTCTGAGAGAGTTATTTCGAGCAAAGACAGGACAATTCTCCTTTGAATTTTCATCGGAAGATTTGACAAGTGATATTAGCCTTCCTCATAGTGAAATCGAGGAGATAAAGAAGGAAGTTCTTCTAAAAGGAATTGAGGTGAACAATATTGATAGTGAGGTGCTGCCACATCCACCTTCAGGATCTTCAAGTCTTATGGGGTTAAATGATGCAGCTGATGAGTTTTTTGATGTTCCTGAACCATCTGATGATGATGCAGAACATGGGTGGATTATGAGAACGAGTCCTGAAATGCATTACATGGTACTTCCCAAAACCTTACACCTGTTTGTTTTAGTGTTTTACTAGATCAAGCTGATGGTTATTCTTTTGTATTATTTTGGTGCATGGTAGTGTCTGCTTCTGTTAGTGTTCTGCACTGTTGTTGTAGGCTAGTACTTGTGGCTAAGTAGGCTTCTATTGCTACTAAACAGTAGTTTCTCTCTTTATGTCCCCTTTGTGGCAAGGTTCTATAGATGCTGCTTGTGTTTTTGGTTTTAGAGATTGCAGCATGGTAAATTCCCTTTAGAACTTTCTTCTGCAGTTACCTCATCAGTTAACTGGCCTTCCAATGTACCAGTTTAAAGAGTGGAAAAATCAAATTGTTTCTTATCATAACGTATCACAATGGCCGACTAAATTTCTGACTTAGTTCTTTGACATCAACAGGAGACACACCAGCCAAAATTGTCATCTGCAGCCAACTTCGTAAAAATCTTGCATGATATTAGAGGTTGGTTTTCATATTCTGGATTGTGTCAAGCGTGATGAACTATGTTATTTACTCTGATGCAAAATTGCATACGACAGTGCAGAAGAGGGGTTATGTGGACTTACAAGAAATGGCTTGGGAAGAAAATGTAGCTTGCCGGTTTGGAGCCACTCTTGCAAAAGATTTGAGTTTTAGCATGCCTTGCACTTGGGCAGGTGCTGATCCTTCATCTTTTCTGATCCGTGGAAGTACTTATTTGGAAGATCACCAAAAGGTAATTACTTTCATCTCTTTACGTTTTCTAATAGATGTGAATTTTTCCTCAGTTGCAATTTTGGTTTTCAAAGTTTCATCAAATCAATATTCAAAACAGCTTGAAAGTATTCTTCACATAACTTTTTCTACTGGTGGCACCGCCTTGCATCTCACTTTTTTTTTTTTGCATTTTCCTTTTCTTTTGTCCATATCTAGAAATGCAAAGTGCTTTTCATATTATCTTTAACTGTCTGATTTGTGAATCAAAACATTCTTTTTGCTGTGGCCGGTGTTGTTTCAGTTTGTTACATGAAGTTAATCTGATGTCAGATCTTGGTCTTTATGTCTAAAATTCCATTATTTTCATCAGATCAAGGCAAAAAGTACGTTGATGGAAATGGTCGCTGCGGATTGGATTAGATCTGATAAGCGTGAAGACAATCTTGGTGGTCGCCCAGGAGGCATTGTTCAGGTTTTTGACAGTGACTTACGACAAAACTTTGAAACTGTAGTCCAGGAAGCATGAAGCAGTATTCTTATTGACCCTGTTTGAACCTTGCAGAAATACGCAGCTCAAGGTGGCCCGGAGTTTTTCTTCATCATTAATATACAGGTCATTGTAATTGATGATTATTGTTGTCAAGGTGAACTCTTGGCTAGCAATTATAGTGACATCAATGTATCATTTAATGAATCAGGTTCCTGGCGCGACTCAATATAATCTAGCACTGTACTACATGATGAGAAGTCCATTACACGAAACACCTCTACTGGAAAGCTTTGTTAATGGAGATGATGCTTATAGGAATTCAAGGTTTAAGCTCATACCATACATATCAAAGGTATATAAAAAGGGAACAAGAAAATGATGTTGGTTTGAAATACATGATGGACATGATTCTGAGGTTTTTAATGCTTCTATGAGCAGAACTTTTTAGCATGACACTCATTCATTCTTATGGTTATACCAGGGGTCATGGATAGTGAAGCAGAGTGTTGGCAAAAAAGCTTGTTTGGTTGGTCAAGCCCTTGAAGTGAATTATTTTCGAGGAAAGAATTACCTGGAGGTAAGCGATAGAAGAAGTACAATATTATGACTATTGAATCCTGTTATGATGAAATCCATGACAGTCATTGACTGCTATACTACAATATTTTCAGCTCGACGTGGATGTTGGTTCATCAACCGTGGCGCGGGGAGTGGTCAGCCTTGTGCTAGGATATTTGAACAACCTTGTAATAGAAATGGCATTCTTGATCCAGGTAATAGGAAATTTCTCAGATAAAGAAGGGATTTGTTAGCTTTTTGCCACAAAGATTCATTTCTGTTGAGCTGATGAAGCTAATTAGCATGACTTTTATCAGCAACTGCCAGTGTGAATAACCTGAAAAGTTGTATTCTTTCAGATCATTGATCTAAACAAGGTACATTCTGTTTTTCAGGGCAACACTCAAGAAGAGCTTCCAGAAGTCCTCCTTGGAACATGTAGGCTTAACCATCTAGACGCGGCGAAAACGGTTGCAGCTGACTCCATTGACAGCTAGAGAGTTTTCCTTTCCTTTGCTATTTTTTTTCCCTTTCCTTTTTAGTTCCAGCTGACTCCATTGCCAGCTTGAGAGCTTTCTTTCTTCCCTTTTCTTTGGATTCTAATAAATTAACTCATGAAGTACAGATTATTGGTTCTCCAGCACACCAAAAAAAACAAGAACCCAAAAAAAAAAAATGTACGAAAAAGGGGGAACAACAGAACATGATGTATAGATACACTCTTGATCCTTTCTCTCCAACAAAAGTTGATTTCCTCAAGTATATAATTTGTTATTTTGTCAACTGGTTGGAAGAGTTGGGATAGGGAGAGTTGACATTCATTTTGTAAAGGTTTATACAAAATCATCATTCTTTCCAATTTCAAATGTGAATATGTTTTTTTTCATTTTTCTATCCATTTATATCTTTAAAAAGGGGCATAATCATTGATAGACAGAAATCGAATTTATGATTCAATAACTTGAAACGTTTATTATGAGTCACACCGTTACAGAATTTCTCTATATCAACTATCAATTATCATTTTATTATTTGGAACTCAAAATTTTACCCCTTTTTAATTTAATTTTATTTATCAATAATTAATAAATTTCAATTTTTCATAAAAACAAAATTGACAAATGAATTAAAATCACACCCAAAAAAATAATAAGAAGAATAATAAATGTAATAATAAAATCCTGAAAATTGAAGGATAATTTGCATCTTTTCTTCCACTTCTTTCCCCGCCTTCAGCAGCGGAGTCCGTCCACCTCCGGCCACTCTCATTTACTCATTAGCCAAGTTTTTTTCCGGCGACGAAAACCCGTATCAGCTTGCTTTAATGACTCTTAAGCTTTCGGCATCGTCAACCACGCCATTGTCCGCCTCATCCTCACTCCGACCACCTCCTCCTAATTCTCGAACTCACAACATTCCATTGCATGTGTACAAGCACCCAGCTGCAATCCTTCTGGAGCTCTGTAATTCCATGAAAGAACTCCAGCAATTTCTCCCTCTCATTATCAAGAACGGCCTTTACAACGAACACCTCTTCCAGACGAAGCTGGTCAGTTTGTTCTGCAAATTCGGCAGCTTAAATGATGCCCTCAAGGTCTTCCAGCCGATTCAAGAAAAAATCGATCTCTTGTACCATACTATGCTCAAAGGCTATGCTTACCATTCTTCTTTGGCCTCTGCTTTGACGTTTTATGTTTCCATGATGAATGACGGGGTTCTGCCGGTGGTTTATAATTTCACGTATTTGCTTAAATCTTGTGCTGATAATTTCGATGTTGTAGCGGGGAAACAGATTCATGCGCAGTTGATTGTTAATGGGTTTTCTAGTAATGTTTTTGCGATGACGAGTGTTGTGAATTTGTACGCGAAATGTGGGTTGATTGATGATGCGTATAAGATGTTTGGAAGAATGCCTGAGAGGGATTTGGTGTGCTGGAACACTGTTATTGCTGGGTTTGCCCAGAACGGGATGCCGAAGAAAGCTCTGAAATTGTTCTCGGAAATGCAAGAGGTGGAAGGACTCTGCCCTGATGAAGTTACTGTTGTCTCCGTTTTGCCTGCCTGTGCTAGTGTCGGGTCTTTGAGGGTTGGGGAGACGATTCATGGATATGTTATTAGGAAAGGATTAATCTCGTTCGTGAATGTTGGGACTGCCCTGGTTGATATGTATGCAAAGTGTGGCTTGGTTCAGGCCGGACGGTTGATTTTTGATGGGATGAACTATAAGACCGTGGTCTCATGGAATGCTATGATCGATGGATATGCACAGGCTGAAAATTCTGAAGAGGCCTTGAAACTTTTTGATAGAATGCTGGATGAAAAATTGAGGCCAAGTAATGTTACCCTCATGGCTGCTCTACATGCCTGTGCTGACATGGGCAATCTTAAGCGTGGACAAGAAATCCATGACATGATTAATCAGCTGGGATTAGGTTCTGACGTTTCACTTGTGAATTCGTTGATCTCCATGTACTGCAAGTGCAAAAGGGTTGACATTGGTTATGAATTATTTGAAAAGTTGCGCCAAAAAACTCTAGTCTCCTGGAATGCAATCATTTTAGGTCATGCACAAAATGAACATGTGACCAAAGCTTTGGCTCTTTTCTCTGAGATGCAATCGCAGAATATCAAACCTGATTCATTTACAATGGTGAGTGTCATTACTGCAATAGCTGACTTATCTGTGTTACGTCAGGCCAAGTGGATCCATGGTCTAGCTATTAGAAACTCTTCAGACCGGAACATTTTTGTCATGACTGCTCTTGTGGACATGTATTCAAAATGTGGAGCTGTTCACACAGCTAGAAAGCTTTTCGATAGGATGGGTGAAAAGCATGTGACGACGTGGAATGCCATGATAGATGGATATGGGACACATGGGTTTGGGAAGGAAGCAGTGGAATTGTTTGATGAGATGCGAAAGACAGATACGGCACCAAATAATGTGACCTTTCTCTCTATCATATCAGCTTGTAGCCATGCAGGATTTATGGAGAAGGGTCGCGAATATTATTCGATGATGATAAATGAATATGGCTTAAAGCCCTCAATGGATCACTATGGTGCAATGGTTGACCTATTAGGTCGAGCTGGTCGGCTTGATGATGCTTGGAAATTCATAGAAAGCATGCCAGTTACACCAGGAATAAATGTCTACGGAGCCATGCTGGGTGCCTGCAAAATACACAAAAATGTTGATTTGGGTGAGAAGGCTGCAGAGAAACTGTTCGAATTAGGTCCTGATGATGGTGGATACCATGTACTTCTTGCTAACTTATATTCCATTGCTTCAAAGTGGGACAAAGTGGCCAAAGTAAGAAATTTAATGGAGAAGACAGGAATTCAAAAAACCCCAGGATGGAGTTCAGTGGATCTGAAGAATGAGATTCATAATTTCTATTCAGGGAGCATAAGCCATCCACAATCTAAAAGGATTTACTCATATCTGGAAGAATTGATGGATAAAATTAAAGCTGCTGGATATATTCCTGATACGAATTCCATACACGACGTGGAAGATGATGTACAGGAAAAGTTACTGAATAGCCACAGTGAAAGGCTGGCTATTGCTTTTGCACTCCTAAATACTAGTGAGGGTACACCTATCCACGTTAGAAAGAATCTCCGAGTTTGCGCCGATTGCCACACTGCAACAAAGTACATCTCCCTAGTAACCAAAAGAGAAATTGTTGTACGAGATATGCGCAGGTTTCACCATTTCAAGGATGGGGCTTGTTCTTGTGAAGATTACTGGTGATACCTGTTCTAAATCTTAGCGTTAGTGCTCACTTGTGGATATGAATGTACAAGGGAGATCATACATAAAGGGGAGGAGGTTGCTCGCATTTGGTTTCTGACCCCCCAAACTTTCTCGTAAGTAGAACCATTGGGGCTATATTCTGTCATCAGATTTCTCACATTGTAAATGAGACGTCGATGTAAGTTCTTACGACACTGGGAGAATCACATTGTATACTTATGCGATCATTGAACATATCATTCTTTTTCATGATTAATCTGCTGTGGTTTCTTAAGTGGAGATGAATTGTAGTATCTGTGAAGTGAGTTGAGGGGTAATGCAATACCAAGATATTGGGCTACCTTATGAATCTCAAAACTTTTCGAGCTTTCAAATTGGATAAGAGGGCTCAAAGAGAGCGAGGGGTTTCCCAGGAACCAGGACAGACATGCGGAGTCTTCACTGTTATGGTGTCTCTCAACCTTCATTGACATATCAGCATCTCTGGGATCTGTTTGTTTTTGACGAATACGGTGAGTGAACAAGTAACTTTGTCAAATGCGGTATTTTTTCGAATTCATGGAAGTGCGTTCCAGGGAGGAATGTGCAATTTTGCCTCAGTTTTCAGTTCCCTGACAGCTTTTGCAGCTGTATTCGGTCTGCAAGGGAAACTTACAAGAAATGACCAAACTTTACCATGGGTTTATTTTGCAATTTTACATTTATTGGGTTTTGTTTATAGATAAAACCATTTTTTGGCTAGTTTGAGTAATACTGCACATACCAACTAATTTAAATTCGAACATATAAATAAATACTCCCTCCGTAGTTTGTCCTAAAATTATTATTCAGTTTGGATTTCATTTTTAGTTCAATTTAAATTTTAAAAAAAATGAGACAGAAAAGTAAATTCCTTTTAACCAAGCGTAGAAAGTCGCGTTGAAGTAGAAAACAACTAAATTATGTGATAATAAATGACTAATAAACGATAACAAATTAACCACTTGCTGTAGATCTCTTTTATACGCATAGCGAATAGCGATTCTCACTAGGAATTATCATTAGATAAAATCCCGTCTAAAGACATACTCCCTCCGTCCCATAAGTACTGTCCAGTTTGGGTTTTCATTTCTAATTTAAATTCTACTTCCTCTGTTCTGTAATTATTGTCCAGTTTGAGTTCTCACTTTTAGTATAATTTATACTAGAAATGAAAACTCAAAATGGACAACTTTTAGTATAATTTATACTAGAAATGAAAACTCAAAATGGAAAATAATTTTGGGACGGAGGGAGTACTAAAAATGAAATACCAAAGTGGATAATAATTTTGGGACGGAGGGAATAGATATTATTAGAATTATAGCAAGATTGTCATGAAAATTGAAAGCGCAAAACAAGAATGTGTGATGAGGTTTTAAAAAAAATCGAGTAGTAATGTAAAGAAAGGATAAGGAATGAAGAAAGGGCCAAAAAGGGCCCAAAAACAATGATTTGGCCAATCATTAATAGCTTACGTCGGGTCGGTAAACATATGCATGTGATTGGTACGATGAGAGCTCCGACTGTCGGAGGGGGGAATTCACGGATTCCTATGTTACGTGATTACGTCCTTTGTTAATTACTACTACTCCGAGGAGCAACGGGAAACCGTTGAGAAAACGGAGTCACGGGAAACAGTCAACTTTTACCGCCACCGACGCAGGCAAGAGGCCCCACCGGGGGGTGGCCTTTTCATGGGCGTATAAAAAATTTCTAAACAAAAAAAGAGCATATGAGTCTGGACCGGTGGTGACCTTCACTTGCCGGTGAAGCTTCAGTGTCAGGGGAATTGTCCACCTGGTACATCCGGTGATTCTGTCGGTCGAGGATTAGTGTCGGCACCGACTCACCTCCGTACGTACCTGTTGCCGTTAATTAAGAAAAAATTATTAAGACTGAAAATATGAAATGGGAGCATTATAAGTTATAACAAATGAATTTTGTAATTGTGATGTTTTTGTTGAGAAAAAAGATCAATGCCCAGTCTTCTTTGTTTCTCTTTTCTATCTTTCTTTTTCTTTGTCGTGCACTCAATTTAAAATTAAGCAGTATGATATTTTAAATTAGGCGGTATAAATAGGATCAGATATGGAAAGTATTCATCTACATTTCACGTGGAAGCACGAATTGATTTTTTTTTTCGTTTTGAAATTAAAATATCGTTTAATGGCGATCAAATTAACATCACCCTGAAAAGGTCGGGATTACTTCGACAGATTTTTTTTTTTTTGAAAAATTAAAGTTGTTTTATACGTATTTGCTGGAAATCGTCCAACTTTGATTGATTAATGGTCAAGGAATATGCCGCCAAATCATACAATGTGAATCGCTATTTTTAGTTAAGTAGAGAAACTTAGAGAGATTAATAAGTAAACTACTTACAAATTAATAATCGCAGAGTACATATTTTAAGGCTTTAATTTGGGCCAAATTAGGATGTTGGGAATTGAGAGTTGTGTGGGCTGATTTAATTTTTGGTTGGAGAAAAATTATGGGTCCTTTTTGCTTGCTTTGTCCAAACGAGCATGTGTGCTGCTACCCTATTACATGTCCATTCCATCAATAAAGTCCTTTCTGTTCGTGCACCCCTACGTGCATTCATTTGGAGTTGGAGATTGAAGAAAATGATGATCAAACCAAGAACGAGAAGAACAACGAAAATCTCACGAATTTTATCACCATCTCCATTCAAAATTCATTAGAGTAATGAGTATTGTACTATTTTATTTCAAAAGACGGGATCGGTATTTTGGAAATGAACAAATATATGTTAGCAAGTTGGCCCAATTTTTCATAAAACCCGGGGGTGGGGGTGGGGTTGGGGTGGGGGTGGGGTTGGGGTTGGGGTTAGATGAATATAGATTACATAATTGCATCTTGGAAAATTCTTCTTCAATTTTTTTTTTCTTCTTTTTTTCCCTAAATTGCAAGTTTCCAAAGATCGAAATAGTACTACCATTTTCAAACCTCCCGTATAGGGCCATTATGCGATGATTACTAGCTAGGCGAATTCAAAACATCAATGTTTATAAATCATTAGAACAGTCAATTGTGTCACGTTTTAACATTTCAATTTATTCAGGTAAAAAAAGTCAAAACAAAGTAAATGAAATTTCAATATAAACTCGAATAACCTATACAAAAATAGGAATGTGGTCATATAGAGGCCTTGAGGGCTCGAATTCATGTTATATCCGAATTACTTCTTCAGTCTCAAAATAATTGTTCTTTTGAATTTTTATTTTTTTTTTCGTATAATTTACACTAATGCTGAAATTCTAAACTTGACGATCATTTCAAGATAGAGAATATAATATAGACAAAAAAAAAACTTTAATGAAAATGAATGGCAGCCATTCCATAGGTTTGTGATTGCGTTCTTTTTTAAATAAATACAAATAAAATCACGTATCCCATAGGACATAGTCACATAGGTTCGTAAATAAGATTACACTGTTTTGAATTATATAATGGTTGACTAAATTTGCCATAACCCAATGTCGTCACGACCACGAGCAGTTCGATGCCATCTGAGGAAAACTTAAACTAAAACACTAATAATACTGTCGGTGTCGGTAATGCATCGATCCATGACCACTAAGTAACTAAAGCCAACCAAACATATGAAAGCTGCAGTTGATCTATCCTTTGATAAAATTAATACTACTACTACTAAACAACAAGATAATTCATGCAGAAATTCCTTATTAAAATGAGAATAAAAACAAAAAATATATATATATATATATATAAATATTTAAAAGGGGGGATGTGCCTTGTAGTTTTATTATATATATGCGTGGGTTATCAACTTTAACTGTTTATATGTTTGGCCTTTACTTATAACTTAATTTCCAATCAATTCTTTTGTTCTCATTTTCACAGTCTGATTTTTTAAATCAAATCGTACAATAAGTTTACTATTCCCTCCATCCCATAATTATTGTCCAGTTTGGATTTTCACTTTTAGTACAATTTGAACTAAAAATGAAAACTCAAGCAGGACAATAATTATGGGACGGAGGGAGTATTAAAATTGGAGAAAGACCAATTTTCTACATTTTCAAGATTTCTATACCACATCAAAATCACCATATGGTACCAAACGATTCAACATAAAGAAACGTACCAATTGTATGTCAAACTTCAAAGCAATAAATCTGTAAAACCAACGGATTTACTACTTCATGTTCCCCAATCCCCATTTTATCATTGCTAAGTCTCTATAACTTCAATTATTATTCATACAAAAAAATGTAATGTTCTAGCAAGTTCAACCGTTTTTCAAGCCTAGCTTACACAAATCTTTAATTCCCCTTATATTTCTATTTTCCCCCCATCTTTTTGTTTGGGGACCATAAGGAATATACTATATATGATCACCTAAGAATCCTTTCATCCATTCCATTGGCTTGCGGGGAGAAAACGAAAAAAAAAAATAAAAAAAAAATTGATTGCATTCACTTATATGTCACGACTTACGATAATTCCCCTTCTTCATTTCCAATTAATAAACTAGTCAGCTCTTTTGTCAGGAGAATAGTTCAAGAGCACGTACCTTGCTTAAATGGTACTCTCGTTGTCTCAAAAAATAATAATTTATATCGTAATAGATTATTTTTGTAAAACGGAAAAATTAGTTCAATAGTATGATTTAATCTAATTTTATATGCTGTACATCTTCCACATATAGTTCAAATCAGTTAAGCACTAGCGCTCTGTGAAACTCTAAATTAAGTTGTGCCAATTTGGGTTTTGCAGTACAAGAGATTCTGCCTGTCACTTTTGTACTAGCTAAATGAGGATTTTCTTTGGATTAGTAGATCTAATAATTTCCCCTCTAATTTACTAAACCTTCATATGTTAAATTTATTTTACTCACTTCTAGCATATATAGTTCAAATCATCTCTTTCATTTCACCGTTTATTTTGTACTTTCTTTCCCCGTCCGCAAACGAGCAAATGAGTTAAATTGGTAAAGATCAAATTTTTGAATCAAAAGAGGCCATTGTGCATGATGAGTAAAATGGAATTTCAATATTAATTAGGGACCTTATAAAAATAAAGCTACTTATATGAGAATGAGAGCCTTGGTTGAGTAGTAAATGAAAGCACGTGCAGTAGGGTGTGGATGCATATGCCATGCTGATTTCAAATTCAATTGTTTGGACTACAGAACCATTAAAAAACAAACAAGAGAATAATGTGGGAAATTAGAGCAAATCAAGCAATAATGTCCGTAGTTCTTCTACGTTTATACTAGTTTGTTGTGGGGGTGTGGACTTTTGAAAGTTTGGACTCATACTAGTACTACTTGGGTTTCTGGTTCCTATATCCACATACGTAATTCCCCTCATTGGGTGTGTCCCACGAACGATACGGTCTAAGGACGTCACTCTGTCCTTCCCAGTTTTGATCTCCCACATAATTATTTGGCCAACTCAAATTAATATAATTACTTTCATCCCAAAAAATAATAATCACAGTATAAACTCCTTTTCAAACTTAGTGTGAATTATTCTATGTCCACCAATTCCCACACAATTGACTACGTGCTTGTTTGATAAAGTCACTTAATGCTTAAAATTATTGGATTAAATATTTTTTCATTTCAACATGTTTGATAACAAAAAATAAACATCTTAATGAATTAAATGTTGCTGAAACTACAGTATAAAATATAAGCAAAAAAAATATTAGTTTATTACTTATTTCGTAACCGATTAATGAATCCAGTATTTCTAATTTAGAGTTGAGCAATAATTTTTATCAAACAGATCCTAAGGGATTAATC